TCAGGAGTCAAGATTGAATTTTCACGTTCATGTTTTCAAATGAGATTCATGGTTGAATGGGAAGACTGTTGGTCTTGAGATCGATGAGATTGAAGGACATGCTGTTGTTCAATTGCGAGCTGGATTCGATCAATCATAAAGGTAAATGATTTCCAGTTGAATTTGATAATCTTCTTGAAAACGTTGAGCATCACTGATATTGGTGGTGAAATTGATGAAGCTCATCAATTCATACTTAATCAAGCTAAGACTAAGACTAAGTGAAGAGAGTGCTGTTCTAAGTTGATGGTATTCTAGATGATGAGTCAAAGTGTTGAAATCAATTGATGAGCCCAGAAGGCTTCATGTAAACATTGAATTGAGCCAATGAGGATATTGGTTGAATATTGATGAGCTTCTGAGATGAGATGAATCATGAGCTACGTAATGGCTTGATTAGAAGGTGAGTCAAGTTGAGTACTGAAATGTTGATGTTGTTGATAATGATACAATGAAGAGTGTTGACGATAAGCTGGTATTGGATGGCTAAAGAACTACATATACGGAAAAGGTAAAGCAAAGGTGAAGGCAGTATTGTTTGATTGATAAAGAAAGAGAATAGGACATAGAGTGGATGATACAGCTTACGGTCATACAATCAGGGATAGGAACAACTATGAGGTAAACCCAGTACTGTTTGATGGATATGGATTGTTTTTAGTTAGAGTGGAGGCAAAAAGAGTTGGTGTATGGTGGAAGAGGAAAAAGAAATAAATTCATAATTGTGCAGAAAAGAAAGCTGATTGAGAATGCATACGTTTATAGAAGTAACAATTAGTACAATCTGATGTGTATGGAAAGCAAGAGGTGAAAGGGTTCCTTAGAGGGGCCAAAATAGGAAATTGACAACCTGTAAAGCTTCAGAAACACTCGTAGGTAATGCAGATTAGGAAAAAAACTGATCAACAAGTGGGCAAATGCGAAAGAAAGGAATGCTACACCCAAACAATTGGGTATAAATAGACAGCAATTTGGAAGTCAAAGATAATGGATCCCCACACCCCTCAACAGCAAACCAGGAAGTCGTCTTTACGACCAATGGTGGCTGAAACAGTAGGGGTGTCATGGTGGATGTACCTTTGTATATGTGTCTAGCCCTAAGGGGAGGTATAAGTGCTGAGATATTGCTTGAAGGGGGGGGCTTTACGAATTTACATTTATTTAATTATGCATTTTTGCAGGTTATGAGCTAGGCTATAAGACTTAGGGCTCAAGGTTTATGCCTGATTGTGTACTTTTTATCCTGTATTTTGAGTAAAAGCTATGCAATTGAGCTTGCAAGACCCGGTTTTTTGGGTTTTGACTTATGCATTATCATTTTTGACAAAATTATGCAATAAATCCGACTTTTAGCCCGCACCAAGTTGGGGGAAGTCCTGGCCTATGCAAAAAGGCTGATTATGCAGTTGCGCGGGTATGCAATTGCGTGGGTTTGACTGTATTGGAGACCTTTTTGACACAATCATACCTCATATGTCCAATGATATCTTCATGAAACTTTGTCGAGTTTTTTAATTGTTCACAGAACAACTCAATGAGATATCATTTATTATGGTTTGGGTTGAGCTTGTCTGTTTTTGGCAGGGGCACAACCTTGGAAAGGTCTTCTCATGTGCACACTGGAGGGCACTCATTTATTGAGGGAGAACACAGCAAGCTGTACATTTTGGCAGGGCTCTGTATGTGTTTTACTGGTTCACAACTGTTGGAGATGCTCTCTCAACACAAATTCCAAATTCCTACATCTACTTACAGGTTTTCCATTTTTGCACTTACTGACCCAGTGTTAGATTTCCTAGATCCTTCTTCAGATTATCAAGATCACTTGGTTGCAATCAGTGCCATATGCCCCCTTCCACAAATAAAAGCTGGAGGGTTTTTCATCAAGAGCTCAAGGTCATAAACCCCACATGATCTAAAGCCAGTTTCTGCTTTTGGTGGCTGCTCATGGTTGCACAATTCCCAGCAAGGGCTGTGAAATATCAGCCACACTTGCTCATAAGACTCCAACACATCACCAGAGCTCTAAATATCTACTGACTAGAATTTACAGCAGAAAATCTCCCTGGCAAGTGCAAAATCTGTTTTCACATCAATAAAGTCGGGGCTTCCTATCAACATCCACCTTTTGATAGAAGGCAACTCTCTGTCTAATTATATCTTGATACCCAAGTATCTGTTTTTTTATTTCTCTATAATACCTGCAATCAATTCACTTCATGATGATGGCAAAGGTATACAAAGGGGCAAAATTGTTACAAGCCTCATAATCATTGACTGGGCATACTTTCACTGTGCCCGTGGAGGGCGCCCTAGACTTCGGGGGCCCTCAAGAGTACAAAGGGAAGCCTTTGTACTTGTTGGAGCCCCCGACGTCTGGCGCGCTCTCCACGGGCACAGTGTTTGTGCTCTTGATGCCAAGGGTTTCAATTTAGATACAGGTGTGGTAAGCTGTAAGAAAAAAAGATTAAAAATGATAGATTGAAAACAATGTATGAGATAAAACACAAAATGAGGAGGATGAAATATCAAGTGGTGCTGTCAGGGTGGCTATAGTTAAAGCAGGTGAGTATGGCTAATTACTCACTTTAAAGTCCTGACAAGTATCTTACTGGTTCCGTAAGATAATGCACTAACTTATATTCTGTAACAGAAAGAAACAAAGTAGTGCGTAAATCATGTGTGATGGAGATAATTTGATATATCAACGAGATTATCCCGGTCCACTGTAGGTTTACAGCGTGGAGATGGTCAAGCTCTGAACCGGTAGCTTCCTTTGATGGTAAAGGTTCCAACGAAAGCGCCTGTGTTACTAGACACAGGGATTCTGTCAACTTTACGTTGCAGAACCAGTGGTACGTGACCAAGATATAACTATCCCAGGAATGAGAGTAGCTCGAGACTTTGCAGCAAAGCTATAATCCCACAAGGATATATCAAAGAGGAGTTTTTTTAAGAAAAAGATGAAAGACAGAAGTAAATGAGTAACTTACTAAAGATCTTTTTATTAAAGCTTCCAAACGTATGTTTTACTAGGATTTGCAAAAATGCTAGAACAATAGTTTGATGTCTTCTAGTATCTTTATAAGATGGTTGCTTGTCAAGAAGTGAGTCCTTCCAGATATCCGGGATAAGACTCTGTTATTTATAGATGTGCTGTCTTGATGGCTGACCTGTGGTTACCATGTTCTCCTTCTGCTTGTATTATGATTATCTAGTGGTTCTCTAAGTTACTTATTCAGTTGTCTTGGGCCGGTTTGTGGTTTAGACGGATCTGGACAAGGAATGGGTACTTCCCTTTTGGGAATCTCTGTTTGTTTCTTTAGTTGTATTGGTCACTAAAGATATTTCACGGTTTCTTCTAATTTTGAAGGTCGTTAGATATCTGAGTATTTTTAACTTCGTCTTTGACACTTCAACACAAGGTGTTTGTATTTATAAGAGTGTAGGAGATAAAAATTAATGTGTATTTACATCCTTCTTTGGTATCTAGACGCGAGGTGCTATAAAGGTGTAAATACAAAACTTTTACTATTGATTTGTCTTTGAAACTAGACGCAAGGTGATGTACTTATTTTTGTAATTTTATATGTATATTTTTATTTGAAGTCCTCTTGGCTTTTGCTCCGCAAAAGCTCGAGGGCTGACAGGTGCAAAGTCATCAGCAGCCTGAACTGCAAACCTCCAGCACCCACTGGCTGGACCTCTGAAGATAACTCCTGTGTCCCATCCTGACAAGCCCTGACACAGACCCATGGACAAATCTTTTTTAACAATTTATTTACCAAAATCTTTTTTAACAATTTATTTACCAAAACCTTTTTGGAAAATGAATTGTCAAATGAGTAGTTTTGACTTGAGCCATGAGTGATGAGAAGTGGTAATTTTGTGTGTACAAAAATTATCAAATTCTTGCGGTGAAAAACTCTGACTATTGAGTTATGGGTTTATACCCTTGGCCTCAGAACTAGATCATGGAACTATGCCTTAGGTTGTGCTTTAGTTAGAATTAAGACTGGGAAACAAACCCTGACACAGACCCAAACTCAACACACAAACCAGGGAGAATAGGGGTTGAGAAATATTTCAACCAACTGGTTTTGCGCCTCTGAGAAGCCTCCCGAAAGGAGTCAAAGATGGCAGAGGACAAGTTTTCTGGATTTCACAGATCTGTTACGGATCTGAGCCCAGATCCAAGAGTGTTTAGGCAATACCCAGGCAAGCTTTTGCCAGAAGAGAAGGGTTGGAGGATATGTGAAAGGTGCAAAAGGGGTGTGTGCATGGCTTGTACTACAAGCCCAGCGGTGCAAATTGCTTTTCCCTGTAAGCCTTCTGAATGGGTGAAGCTTTGGAGTTCTCAAGAAACACTTTGTACTGGTCTGTATTTTTGCAAAGCAAAAAGATCAATAAAATTTTTGGTTGGTTAAGAGTGGCTTTGATATTGCTTTCTAGCCATCTCAAAAGGATTCTTAAATCATTGAACTATGACTGAATGGGTTTTGCAAACTGGTTGGTCAAAATTTTGCCCAACCCCTAATGTGGTGCTTAGGGGATTTGTTATTATGTACAACTTGCCCTATCTTTTACAACCGCATCTCCGACACTCAGTTAATCAAACACCAACCATGATTCAACCTTTAAGGCAACTGTGACTGATACTAAAGAAGTCTGGCAATTTGTCGAGGAAAGTGTTCAGCAATGAATTATAGACTTGTGTATATTCAGTTCGGGTTGTCTAACAAAGATAATTTTGGTGTTATGATACCACAAAAAAAGGAAAGCAACTGTATAAGAATCAACTTGTATCTTAATTTTTTGGAAGTTGTGACTACGACAGAGAGACAGAAATTTTCAGAACAGCAATGGTGGCTTTTGAGTGATTAAGTGATTTCAATTCTTGGTGTTCAAGTTCAAATCACTGTTGTAGAAGTGCAAAAAAAGATTGTAAACATTTTTCTCTACTACACATTTAACAAAATTTGTTGCAAGGAAACTTCATACTTACTGATAAATCCTTGAGGTCGTTGAGCTTGCAAAAGGCCAGTTTTGACCCGTCGGGTCCATTTTGTCTGCTCACGTAACAACACTGAAGCTCTCGTAGATACATAGTTCACATCTAGATTACCATAAATAGCTTGGAAAAATCTCTTCAAAGCTGTGTATGTAGTACTGTGAGCTATATTTCCTCCATCCTCTAGCGGTAAAATGTCTTTCAGGGCTTTGATATCCGCAGCATCTTGAGGGAAAGTAAAAACATAAGCACTAACTGTCTTATAAGCTTTCGCATATTTCTCCGCTAGATCATAAGGAATTCCATTAAGAAGTAATTGCATATGAACTGCAACTCGAATGCTTTTATCCAAATAATGCTCTTCACCTTCTTGAGTTTTTAGAAAGACTTCAATTTCTGCAATCTCATTAGGTTGAGGTGCAATCAATCCAAGTTTCTCTTCAAAGTCGGGATAATCAGTTTTTGAATTGGATGCTTGGTTCGCACCGGTCACTTCTTGTAGTGCTTCAGCTATTGCTCCACGAGATCGTTTCATGGGATATTCAATGTCTTCTTCAATATTGTTGTGAGTGGCAAAGTTATCAAGAATGGTCAAGATTTCTTTTCGAACATTATTGAGTTCTTCGGATCTCATAGGATTCTTGACTTTACGCTCTAAGATGCTACCGACTCGAGTGATGGTTTCCCAAGGCATGTTTGTAGTTTGCCAAGCATTCATGTTATCTTCGGTCCACCAAGGTCGATGATCTAAGATCGCGATTGCAAGGTTGAAATCCAGGACTTGTTGCTGATCAGGAGCTAATGAAGCCACTTTGTTGGTTCGGTACCACTCAAGCACCTGCGCCGTTTCTAACTTGGCTTGCTTCTCATCCCAGCCCAAGTCAGAGGGTAAGGCTTTTAAAACATCAAATGATTGTCCTGTCAAAGGCTTTACTTCTTTGTTGTCGATTCCTAAGGCTTCTCCAAATCGGATCATTACATCAGGTAAAAGGTCTTTGCTCGACCATTCTTTTGAATAGATTTGTAAACCCGTCTTGCTGTCGATGGGGTTGTCGGAGGATGAGACCTCAGAGTCGGATTTTTGTTGATCAGATGTATCATCTCGAATCTGACGTTCTTCAGTTTCTGCGTTAATTTTTTCTCCATCTTTGTAAGTTGTTACGCGAGGGGGGCTTTTGAATGAGCCTTTGTAGGATACAACCCCTTCAGCACTAAAGATTGATTTAGGGGTTTCTAAGCGTGTTTCCTCTCGTATATGAGCAATCTGATCGACAGGGCCTACCGTTCGCCTATTGATAGAGCGGCTAAGATGAGTTTGAGGAGATGACTCGTTACTATCAGTGGGAAAGGAGAGAACTGATGTGAAAGAATATCTAAAAGCCAGAGCAATGAATGCAAGTTGCAAACGCATGATGTGAAATGAGCGTAGAATTCTTTTCAGATTGTGTATTGGTTGATACAGAAAGGAAGGAAGGAAAGTATTGATTTTGATGATCAAATCTATGATCAAATCTCTAAGAAAGTCACTTTTGATGGTCTAGCCAAATGAGGTTTTATTTATTTGGGGTGCTCGCAAAAAGACCAGCGTCCATATAGCATGCCGACTTCATCAGCATCGATATCCTCACCGAAGCATGATCAATGACCATATGCGATTCAACTTTTAGACCGAAAAGGATATTAGGGTCAGTTTCAAGCAACACGACATGAGTCATGATAAGTTACAAGGGTTCTAGGCCTATAGAATTATCATCAGACTTCCCTTTAGTTGCCGGGATAGTGTCGGTTCAACAGAGTCCATTCAGCCGAGACACGCGCCCACGCGCCTTGAATTTGACGGTGACTGCGAATTCAAAGTTCAAACACTGGGATCACAAATCGAATGCCTCGGACGAAGTTTTGAGAAGCTGGTCATACGAACTTCACCTCGAATGAGTCCATTGACCGAGGCAATTGTTCCCTTCTTCCTTTACTTCTCAAAGTTACTTCAGTCATCGTGTAAGCTGTGAGCGGGATTGATATTGAGTGCAGAATAATATCAAGCTTGAGTGAAGATGGCGGCAAATTCTAACCAAGAGTCATGTGAGTATCCGACCATGGAGAAAGGTAGCAAATGGTCTCTGCCGGCATAAGTGGTGCGACGTTGATCTTGATCCTACGTGAGTTTTTTTTCGAATGGCAACACATACAGCATTTTGAGTCGCACATTGATCAGCATAGTAGCACCTCATCTACTTATTTTCGACTTAAACTCCCGAGTATACTTGAAATTTTTGAGATGATAGGAAGAAAGTTTACCCATCGCTGTTCGGATTGTTTCAGCGAGACGATATTCGGAAAGCAAAGTCGATCAATCCGATATCACCTGGCATCCTGATGGCCGAACTAGCGTCCAAATTCAAACATGCACCGAATATGTAAGTCTCTTGAGCGGAAAAAAATTTCAGGCCAATTGGTTAACCAAGTATGAATTAAACAAGTGGGACCCACTACTACGGCTCGCCACTGCAAACCATGCGTATCATCTTCACCTGATGTGTCAGGTCAGATTGTGAGCGCGGCGCAGAAAACGCGCCCAGGCGTCAGAAAATTCGAGAAATCGGGGGTCGGCGCGCCTTGCAAAAATTACACCAAATCACCAATATCGGAGTTGTGAC